TTTTTTTTTTTTTTTTTTTAGACGTTACACAACTTACACAGTAAGTTGTTCTAGGGAGGCAACCCAGATCATTTTCCTCAAAATGCCAAAATATTGTTTGGTATATGTTTTTCAGTTGCGTATAGTACAAACTTGAACATCAAAGCTTCAAACAAAGGCTGGGTCTACATGCTAGCAAATGAAGTCAAGATTTGGCAGGAATACGGTCATTTCGATTTCATATAAATAGCCAGACATGATTTCCCTTTTTAGGTCTCATTTTGAGGTTGGATCAAAATAACCTGGCAACCACGAAACGTGTGCTGTATCATCATGGTACAATTCAATGAATCTAAAAGATAAAATAAACTTCGAGAGACCACGGTCTGGTCCATACACCTCTTATTTCACGAGCACATCACAGGGCCTGATCCTAAGTGACTAAGTGTCTTCTTCACTGAACAATGTCCCTACTTGAGTTCTACGAACACCCAAGAAAATCTCCTAACATCAACTTCAACTCCCAAGCCATATTTCGATTTGCTTATGTTAAAGTCATTTGAAGAATGAGCCAGAACTGACTTCGGACACCCTCCAGGCATTCTGTTCTAATCCTGAGGCTCTGAGATCAGAGTCACCTCTCTCTTTGATACCTCCGATCTACTCTTACCTCCGGATGTAAAGCTCATATATTTCTGGTTGTTGACGGTTTCTTTGGAATCGTAGAATTTGAGAACGTCTAGGACGGCTTGTGGATTCTTCTTCTGTTCCAGCTTTGTTATGTTGGAGGTTTGGAGTAACCGTGCCCACTGCTCAGGAATTCCCTGTGGACAACCAAAGGGAAAGAATGGCAGCTCAGAACATTCAGTAAGCTGCCTTTTCATGTTCCAGTAAAGTTCTTCACCAAGAAGCCCATGCTACCTGTAGGATTACACTTGGGAAACTGAAGTTACACTCTCGATTTAAAGTTAGTAACTTAACAATGCAATCATTCTCTTCTCTAATTAAAACACATAGGTAAAACTAGGATCCAACTTAAAAAGGGTGGGTGGGAGTATGACTGTGATAGAAAAAAAAAGCGCATGAAAATCACCTCCATATTAATTCTGCTCATCCATGAAATGATGTTTACGGCTTAGCTTATTTTTTCTGGCGACTCAGGGCAGACATAGCAAGACTTCTCTAAATTTGGGCACCGTATAGTATAGTGCAGATCAATGGATTTTGTATGACTGGAATAACATAAGCTTTTTCTGGGCACGTTGGAATCGGAGTTATCTTTCCGAATAAAAGAAAAGCCTCACCCTTGGTTCAGTTTATACTCTGTGATTACAAAATGTAATTTGGGGGAGGGGGTGTCAAGGGCTTTAATACAGGGGGGACTGAGAGGAGACAAAAATAGAATAGCGGAGGAGCGATAACCACGGAGATGCGAAACGGTAACATTAACGCTGCTTTGGGCGTTCTCCCTGCAGCTTTCTCCTCTCCTCCCTCCGTCCCCTCCGCCCCACTTTGTTCATTGGCCACACAGAACCTGGGGACTGTGACAACCATGGCAAAGCCCTGTGAGAATTTGCAATCGTCTAAAGCATTTAGAGCACAGAGGAGGGGGTATTTGGAAATCTAACCAAGGACAATTGCACCAATTACTTGGTAAGGTTAGTTGTGCCTTGAGGATTTTAGCATTCTTTCCTACACATTCAGCCTCCGGATGTCCCCATTTCATAATCGTCCGCCCTCCAAGAGCGACTTGGAGCGAGAGACAGACACATCATTCCTGAAGTGCATCTAGACCCAATTTGTGCGGCTTTGTCCTACGAAGTCTCGGCAAAACAATGTGTGACGTGGGCCTCCAGAGTTTGGGAATGACAACAAAAAAGTGATATAAGCCAAGCAACAACTCTACTGCACACAAATGAACCTGCTGCTGCAGTGCTATGACATCTCAAAGAAGCACTTTGATGCAAGCTTCTTTTGGGCCTGTGACGCACCTCTGGGAGCTTCCCTGGGCACATCTGTGAGCCATAGAGATCTGGCTGTAATGGACGTAAATAAAGAAAGAAAAGAAAGTTAAAACAGAATGCGGGACAACTGAGAAGGTGGGAGGAGATGAAACCAATGGGTCTGGATGGGGGAGGGGGGTAATCCCTTCTAAAGTGGGGCGGTTATGAAAATAGAGAGGCATTAACTAAATCAGGGGCAGGACAGATTTAAGAAAACAGAGAAAACGACAATGTTCTACGGAGTGGATGCGTAATTCCACTTTTGGCCAGATGCGTCCTCCATAAATATGCAATAATAAGAATTACCATTAAATGACTGGAGAGATTACCAAAAGGCGGAAACATGACTTCGGGGGTGGGGGAGGGAAGAAGGATGGCATCATGAAAAGCTTTGACAATAATTTGTAAGTTGTATTTACAACCGGGTGATCACAGGTAGCCAGGGGCCATGTGATGAACTTACAAATTTCAGTTCCCAATTCTGGTTCACCATTTTCAGCTTCGCGTGGGAAGTGTCTGTGTGGCTACGACTGAAAGGGTGGCTACGTGGGGACGCTAGATTCAACTTCATTCCCATCGATGTGACTCTTCTGTACTTTGTAGTTAAAGTCGTGGCCGGTGTCACGAAAACTAGATTAAGGATTTCCCACACAGCCAGACTCGGCCTTTGAGTTCCTTTAGACCAGGGGCAGGGAAACCATTTCATTTCAAACCATATATGAGTAATTGCCATGTTAATGCTACAGCTCTGAAGTCTCACTCCCCACAAAAGAAGACCAGAGAAAAGATAACAGCTTTGTCCAAATAAAGCTATTGTCTCCAGTGCTACAGAAACATGCTTTGACCCAACTGGTTGGATTCGGGACATGGGTCTTTGATTCCTGGCATTTGGGGTTACTCCAAGCACAGTGAAAACGACACTTTTACATGCATTAATCACGCAATTTGATGCTAAAGCCTTAAGCCAAATATTTGAACTCAGGAGCCCATGCATGATCCCAGTTCTGATTCTAAGTGCAATTAATAGCATTTGGTTAATACTATAATGGCCAAAGGAGTTATTAAGTGTTACGAAACCAGGTATGCGTTGCACATAACCACTAGAGCAGACATCACTGGCATGGTCATTACCGTAATTATTAGAATATTTGCAGTTATTATACATTCTCATGGCACTTCTAAACTTTTGTGATAAATAAATGTCTGGAGATCACTAGACAGCAGGAAAACATGCTGCCAATTGCAGAAGATCCTTCAGACAACTGTACTTACCACATGGCTACACTGCTGACACAATTTCTTTTGTCTTTTGTAAGTTGAGATAAACTAGTAGTTCATCAATGAAACCTGACCCTTAAATTTGAATGTCTGCCACAGAGGCACATAATCAGAAAGCCATCTCATTACTCCAAACTGACGTACAAATCCCAAAAGTTAAGACAGCTAATGGAGGCCTAGACGTATGAGCATCAGAAGCAGGAGCACATATCAATGCCTCACCACGTGTACAATAACGACCAGATGTACGACAAGCTGGGGATTGTCCCGTGTAGCCCAGGAGAATGGCAGCATGATACGACAGGCCAAGCATTTATCTTATCATAGGAAATGATCATTTATATCACTCATACCATTTTTCCCTCTGATTGACTTGAAGCGACCGTCACAGGTCGAGAGGTCTGGAAGGGGGAGTTCTAAAGTATTTGGGACAAAAATGGCAATATAAAGGGTAAGGACTTGTAATAGTTCAGTACCCCAAATCTCACCTCCCAACCTAATTTTAATCTCAGGGTCCAAGTGTGTACCCAGGTACACAAGATTACATGGGCCAGCTAGCTGTAGGACAATGACAGGCCCTTGTAAGACAACTGAACGACACAGTTCAACAGATGGCTCAAAATCCAACCTAAGCCACCGCAATGATCAAATTCAGTAATATGCCCCTCCCCCCTCTGCACGCACACACGTGTGCACAGGCACACACACACACACACACACACACACACACACACACACACACACACACAATAAGTGAGTGGTACCAGGGCAAATAGGACCCAATTTTAAATGCTACCAACAAAATGATTTTAAAAGCTCTTGATCATTATGGTAGTTTTTCAAGTTAGGAAATGTAAACCATCGGTGAAGATAGTAAAAAAGGGAAGAATTTGGCGTCTTTAAATATGACGTGCGGACAAGAAGTTTTCAAAGATCATCAAGAGGCCAACAGTGCATCAGATACCCAAATTTAGCCAGTGTCTTATCTGTATATTTCAAAGGACTTCTAACAACTGACTGCATCCAAACAGATGCTTTATTTTAAATTGGGCTTGGGGGACCAAGGGGCAGATGTTTTGGTTTGGTTCAATTGCATCGAACAGGTTGTTCACAACTGGAAAGCCTGCCCATCACATAACCCACCCACCCCACCCTCTCTGGTTGGTTCTTTGGGTTCTAACTGACAGCAAAGTGAAGATGTGGTCAGCAAGATGATGGTGACTCACTTTCCTTCATTTCCATTCAGAACCCCAAAAGAACAAAGAAGGAGCTAAAGATAGATTGTATCTTAAGATGTCAAGCGAGTTGGAAAGAGCGGAAAAAAAAAAAATTGGAAAGGAACCAGAATGTCACATGAGAACAGCAGAGGAGAAAGCTTTCACATCAGACCACAAAAAGGAAGAGAAAAGAAAAACATGGCATGACTGCAATAAAACCTAAGAGCAGTTTAAACACAAGAAAAGCAACATAGAAAACAAAAAAAGGTCCGAGCTAGAAACATAATGTTCTTAAAATAAAAACAGGGAAGAGTTATTAGACAAAATTTATGGTTTAAGTGCTTTTACTGTTTCGAATGTCAAAAAGTCAGCTTATAAAAATTATTATTATTATTATTATTATTATTATTATTATTATTAGTGGTGATGGTGGTAGTTGCAGTGGAGTCAGTAAGGTTATATTTCCGGAGTGCAGCTAAGAGAATATCCTCAAATACAGTAAAGAACAGCGGCCAGACTCAAACTCAAAGCCATGTGAATAATGTCTCTGACTCCAGTAATGAAATTGGTTAAATCCTACCGGTATCTCGACTTTATCAATGACAGTACCTCTTTCTGTTCTCTTCTGCTTGCTACTGAGAGCATAGAAATAATCAGCTCACATCACTTTACAAGGCCAAGATGTTGACTCAGTTTCGATTTTATTCTCGTATTGCTTACTTCCAGAAAAAAATAAAAAGTAATTTGGCTGTCAATTCAGAGACCTTGGTTTGCTTCTCCAAAGCAAGTTAATGTGTCCCCCTCTCTTTTTTGTTCACTTATTCATATGACAGTCTACTCACTAACCATCAAGTTTTAAAAACAGAAACTTCAATTATTTAATATCTAAAATTATCTCTGGTTTAAGAACCCAAGAATCAGTGGTGATGATACCATCGAAGATTTTTTTTTTTCTGAAGGCATTCAAAATTACTCATTATCTCAGAATGTACATTTTTATTGAGATCCTTACTAGGATGGAAAAAGGTAGTTGATCCTCCTGGGGGCATATTTCTAGCCACATCTTTTCCTTCATCCATCTAAAGACAAATATGCCAGATCTTAAAAAAATATATCCAAAGAAAGGCTGAATCTACAGCTATGGTCTTTCTGGTGAATTCTTACTGATATTAATTATGGATTGTATATCTATAAAGCACATGACCACTATAGCACACGTGATATATCCATAAATATTCTTCCCGAAACATGGGGTTTGTTGTTTTGAATGTCTATAAAATACACCCGTTAATAAGCCTAAAGATAAGCTGTGTTCTTGGGATCAAAGCGGAGAACAGGTCGATTTTACAGAGATTTTTGGTTAGCTTAGTTCGCTGATCTGGGTAACCCAGATTCCAATGTAAAGCCCGAATTATTCAGATAGGCTGTCTTCGCTGGTCAAGTTGAATCCATGATTCTCTGATTCACTTCAAACAATAAAGCGCAGACTCAACAGGCTAACTGCGATCAGACATTTTTATGATGGACAAAATAATTTTACCAGTACTCTTGCCACTCTCTAGTTCCACCTGTGATTGTCTCTGTCTGTGTCCATGTCTGTGACATGGAAATGCTTTCTTGAAACCTATTTTCACAAAGGAACTTTTCATGGCTTGCAAAACAAAATAAGGAGCTTACTTACAGTGAACTCCCCGGTGACTGCGTCAAACCCCACATGAATCGTATGTTCAAAGTCTGAAGGAAGAGAGATCTCTGGGCGTTCTTTCTCTTTCTTCTTATTGGCTAAAGGCAAAATGTTAACATGTATTTATTTGGGCTATAGTTTTATCATCCATAAGTTGTACAATTAGGTTCATGAAAACAGTTACAAAGGTGAAAGACAATCGATTCCAACACAACTTTCACAGTATTCCACTCCAGAAATTACAATTTCATTTGCAGAAGTAGCTGAGAGTTTGACAAAAACGTTACATCCCCATAATTTACAAATTTCCAAAATCCAATTCAAACAAAACTTGTGGTCAAACTGATTTATGTCCTTTACCAGTCGAATAATGTAACCAGTAGGTATCTAGGTAGATTGTGCTCAACTGGCTTTGTTGGATCAAATAGGACTTACTAAAGAAGAAATTCATTATGCTCAAGTCAAGCTAAGGCTTACTGTTAGAACGGACGGACGAAGGGGAAAACGCTGAAGCTATCCACAAAAGTGTTATGAACTATTTCCATGTTAACCAGAGCTGAGTACCAAGCGGCTAGAACTTGTTTAATTTACACGTTTACATTATCAAGCATAGAAGCTTGGTCTTCTTCCAATGAGAACACTATTGCAGATCAATCATGTCACAAATCTTTATCTTTAAAAATGTTTTTAATCATGTCCTACCCAGCACTTTGTTAGTAAAAACAAACACACAAATTGCTGCTTTCTGCTGAATTAATTTTATTTAGTTCTCAGTAACCTCAAACCAATGCCTTGGTTTACGCATTCTAGTCTGTAGCTCTTTTTCCATGTCCCTAATATATTCTGTCATATTAGCCACTCAAAATCATTGTCCTCAAGTAGCAGGTTTTTCATAGTGACACAATTGTAAATGAGCACATCCCCAGTTAATATGTCAAAAGCCTTTAAAGATATCACCACTGGAGAGATCAAGTTGGGAACTGTAATGAAATTAGTTTATCTTGAAATAGATTCCAGGAGGAAGTCGCTGCGGAAATGTAAAATGGCATCAAGTAGATTCCCTAATAGACATATAAACAGATCTGAGAATGTGACTTTGATCAGGGTACATCTCACACTCAAAAATAATAATAATAATAATAATAATAATAATAATACTCACCCTCCTAATAATGGGAAAGTCAGCATGGTTTGCCCAATTGAAACCAGTCAACCTCAGAAATGCCCAGGGTGGCCAATTTAGAACATTCTGGTTCAAATAGATATTTCCTTGGCCTGAATTTCAGACAACATTCAATTAACCATATTATGGATTACTGGTTTTGTGGGTTACCCAGGAGAAATTTTAGATTCAAAACCTTTCGTGTTCAAATGTCATTTTTATGGCTTCTTTTTTCTTTCTACCCTCTCTCTCTGCTCCCTATCTCCAGCCAGAGGACAGAGATATGGGGGAAAAAATATGGAAATTCAAGTAGTAAGAAGAGCAGGACACAGGATTAGGAAAGAAAGGCTGGAGGCAGGGGGTTGGGGGGGGGGACAAGGGTCACTCAGTGCCTCTGCCTGGCCATAGAACACATTTAGGACTCATTTTGAAAAGTACCTATGTGCCATCTAAACTTCAGTACAGATGTCAGTTTTGCAGCAAGCCTACTTTATTGAATATTATCGTAACCTAATAGTGAAGCGTAGAGGTTTTTTTGTTGGTGTTCCTACTTCGCTGCATGTTTTTGCACCATGGCTACCAACTCACCCTTGTTTGACTGCCATGTTTCCTTGTTCAGAACCACCACAGGTGCCCTAGATACTCCTGTGATCATTCCCTTGTTTTGCCTCTTCCCTGCCCTCCCGTCCATATTGGACGTAGTTGACTACCTCTCTATTTCCTTGACAACATGGTCTGATTCTCCTCCCTCGGTGACTGTTCTTTATTTGATTGGCATTGCTTCCCCTTCTGCCTTTTGTAATGCAGTCTTTGGCCTTTAACAATTCCTTCTTGAAACTCATTCCTCATAGATGGCATCCACTCCCAGGTACTATTCCCTAATCTGTGGTTGGCAGGGGTAGATCCAGATACTGTGGGACCAAACACTTTATACAATTTGAGGAGAACAGCCCCGTTTAAGTAAAAACAATATGAAATTGCCTAGGGCCCCTCCTAGGGCCTTGGAAGAGCCCCAGGCAAGTGAGGAACTCTAAAGAGGTTTTATTCACTTTATAGTTCATCTACTCCTGGTGGTTGGTGACTTTCTTGGGGTCAAAGACCACTTTGAAAAATCTTTAGAAAGCTGTGGAGTTCCTGCCCATAAAATATACTGCACACATCTACCCAATTCTGTATATAATTTCAGAGGTTCAAAACTCCCCTGGGCTCCAGGATGAGAACTTGTAGCTTAATCTATGTCTTCAATCATTGCATCAACTTGCATTCATGATCTCTCTTACCAGTAGTCTCTCCCTACTTTCCATTAGTATTGACTGAATGTTTGAACCATGTTGACTTGGACATAAACACTCTACCTGAGCTGATCTATATGAATTGGCTTAACGGAGTCACTCTAGAAGACCAAGGCTCTAGAAGGTAAGGATCGCCAGTCCCTTACCACCCTAATAATGCCATTCCCTTCACTCAGGGCTAAGCATAACAAAGGCAGGAAGGAAGCCCAAACTTGCCCTTCCTCCAGTGTCCATGTTCTCTCAGTGAAATGACACCACTAACCACCCAGATCAGAGAAGGATTCAGACTTCAGATACCTCCTCCTTTGGGAGGCCCTGAGCAATGAAAGGATTATGACCCACCCACCCCCCCCCCAACACACACACAGGTAATTCAAATAAAAATACTAAAGCGTAAAAAGGTAAGAAAGTCCAAAAAGTTCTTATATGCCTATGATGGTTAGGTCTTTCTAAAAACTACATGTACAAAATAAATATGTGGCCATGTTTGGGGTGCCCCTAATCTGCTGGGCCCACAGCACCTGCTTATTCTGGCTATTAGGTAATTTGGCACTGGCCCAACTGCCCAAGCCATAAACTTGGGAGCTTCTTTGACTCCCACTGTATTTCTATCTGAATTGGTCACCAAGTTATATTCTATCTCCTAGACTCATCTCAAATCCATCATCTTCCTTTCGTCCGCACACACCATTACCTCAGTCCAAGGTGCTAGCATTTCTCACCTAGTCTTATTGCCTCCAATCTTGCCTCCTGTAATTCATTACTTTGTGGCCAGAGTAACCTGTGAAATATACAAATCTGACCACATTCCCGCCCTTATGATTCTTAAATGGCTCCCCATTACCCATATGGCAAAAGTTCATGCTTGTTGGCATGCTACCCAAGGACCTCCAGGATCTGCCCCCAGCTTCCCTCTCCATCGTCTATTCTTGCCATAGCCCCCACTGTCCCACACCCATGTCAGGCTCCCCAAACTGCTGGATTTTCTCTTACTACCAAGATTTCATGCTAGGCTAAGGCCTGGAAAGTCTTATCTCTTACCATGATTCCTCCCCCTACCTCCTGCACTTTGGGTGGATAACTCCCAGTAGTCCTTACTCTTCACTCTTGGGCTTCCTCTTCTTTGGCAAGTCTTGTCCTGTCCTCCCTCTGCAGACAAAGCTAAATGCCCTTCTCTTCCTGCTCCCACAGACCTGTCCAGGGCAAACTCTGAGCCTGGCACGTGTTAACACTGGAGACTTTACGTACTTGTTACTCTAGCTAAAATTGAGATACTTGACATCAAAGCCTATATTTTATTCATTCTCACATTCCCTAGCACCTGGCTTATGTCTGTACACTTAATGATTACCACTTATGGAATATTCACTTAATCTCTACCACAGTCACATTAGGTAGGCCTTATGATTATGGTTTAATTATTGTTCTCTACATAAGGAAAATGAGAGTGAGGTTCAACCACATACCCAGGGTTATACAGCTGGCAGGTATCAGAGCCAGAGTTTGAACCAAGGTACTGTGTCTCTAGAACCTAAGTTCTTAATAGTTACACTATTTACTATTCGGGAACATTAAAAAAAAAAACTCAACATTTTTGAGTCCTCGTCTTCAGAAAATGTTTAGTATTGAAAGAAGCGTAGATGAGAATTTTTTGTCTTTTGTTCTTTTCAGGAACACTAAAACATATCTCCTTCAGAAAATTCTGCTGAGCATTGGTCGTTTACATTAACATTCAGTATAACCTGAATCTTGGGTTGATAAGACTCAGCTTGATCAGCTCTGGGTTGGTATCTGCAGAGAGCAGAAGCCCAAATGAGTACTACTTTCTAAGGGTATCACCCATGTACTACTGGAACACAGAATGAAGGCCACATCATAGACAGCAAAGTGTTTTGCCCTGGGACCCTCTGGGTGTACATGAGTTCTCATTCCAGGGGCCAGCGAACCCCTCCAGAGTCTCTCATCCTGACATCTCTCTCCATTCCACCACCTTTTAAAGAAAAAAAAAAAAAGCCCCTCTAATAATCTATCATCTCCTATACACCCTACCCCAATCAGTATTCTCCATTTCCCCAGTAGCTACAGTTTGCCCCATTACCAATCCCCCTACACCTTCAACCTCTTCATTAAATGTTCTCTTCACTTCTTGCCTCCTTTTCCCAAAATTCACAGTGCATCACTCTCATCTGGGAAACTTATGAGAGAGAAGAGAGATATTAGAGCCTCACCCCCAGAGATTCAGATTCAGTTATTCTGGGGGAGACCCCAGCACCTTTAATGTTTAAAGCTCTTCAGGTATTTCCATTAGTCAACTTGGGTGAAAGGGCGACTGGGTGGCTCAGTCAGTTAAGCTTCCGACTTTGGCTCAGGTCACGATCTCACGGTTCATGAGTTCAAGCCCTGCATCAGGCTCGGTGCTGACAGCTTTAGCCTGGAGCCTGCCTCGGATTCTGTTGTCTCCCTCTCTCTCTGCCCTTCCCCCACTCGTTCTCTCTCTCTCTCTCTCTCTCTCTCTCTCTCTCTCTCTCTCTTCCCCTCTCTCTCTCCTCGCTCTCAAAAATAAATAAACATTAAAAAAAAGCAACTGGGGTGGAGAAAAACAACTTTAAATTCTACCCTCCAAGGAAGGTACCACTTCCTCAGA